GAAATTGAAGAGTTGAGTGACGAGTGGACGTGTGGCGAGCAAGTCTTCAACGACCCGTGACTCAAACTCAGACTCACGCGTGCTTCGAGGAACGCTTGCCATCCATTTCCGTGCAGCCGCCTGCATCCTTTGACGTGCGATACCATCACGTGAGTATGCATATACTGTAGATGCGTAAGCTTTTTGGTCAGACCGCGCGGAAATCGACGGAGGCGAACAAGTTTGAAATATTTCCCATCAAAACTCGCAAAGCGCGTCTATCCGAGCTGCACTTTTCCTGGCAGGGGCTGTGCGTACACGCGCTTCCCTTTACTTCTCAGCCAGACACTTGCTTTGATGGTCACTTTGACTCTTACGAGTGTGTTGCCAGCCAGCACGCCGAGGGCAATTGTCCACCTCATCCAGCCTGCTACCTTCGACAGGCAAGGCAAGCGAACACTCGCATAGATCACCTTCATTGGCCTCGCCACGCATAGCAAGCAGGATCCTCGACCAGTTTGAACGTATCCCTTCTTCCAGCAGTCGACCGAGATGTTCTCGCCAGCTCTCAGGGCAGCTGCACGTCAAGCTGGCCGGACTGGATCTGGTGTCAGTCTGTCATTGCCTGCGACACATCCCATCTTATCGCCTTGCTGCTCCTACCTCTTCACTGCCCGAAGCAGTGGCTCGCCCATCAACCCTGCCCTGCGAGATGCACGGAGAAGTATGACGGCCTCCTCACGTCGGAGCGCCAAACCTGTAGATGATGGGACCGAGCCGGGCAAGAACGACAGGTCAAGTGCAGCAAGTCGAGATGAAGCGCCCCAAAGGCCTCGTGGAGCAGGAGCTTTCGACATTGACACTTCTTTGGCTACCATAGCCGACGAAGCCGCCTCTGCAGCAGAAGGGGCATCCCAAAAAACAGGGGCAAAAGCTAGGTCCAATGCCACCTCTCAGGAGAAAAAGAGGAGAAGCACGGCTTTGTATGCTTCGATTGCTGCGCTTTTGATAGGCGGTTGGTGGACTACCGGCTTAGGGAGGGAGTGGGAAACTCTTGAAGAGAGGGAGAGATATGCCAATGTGAGTGGATGGGCTCGATGATCATCGTCGAAATATGAGAGGCAATGCTCATTTCGAGCTCCGCGCTCCGTCTACCTCGCCTCGACGTGGGCTCGCATGGTCCAACAGGATCCGTCTGCGCAAGACTTTTTCGGAAGGGCCAAGATTCGTCTGACGAAGATGTACACCTCGGTCAATGAACCAGCTTGGGAGAAATTACTTCCCGATCTGCTCCCCTTTCCCTACCAGCGGCCGTACACGTTAGTGGTGGATCTAGATAAGCTTTTGATCTCGTCCAAGTGGACCCGAGAGAATGCTTGGCGCACGGCCAAGAGACCAGGTCTGGATTACTTTTTGGGCTATCTGAGTCAATGGTACGAGATTGTCATCTACACGCGCCAGCCATTTTACATTGCCGCACCTATCTTGGAGAAGCTGGATCCGGATAGGAGATTCATTGCATACACTCTGTTCAGGGAGAGCTGCAGGAAAGCACCGAGCGGAAATCTGGTCAAGGACCTCAACCACCTCAATAGGGACTTGAGCAAGGTCGTGGTGCTCGACTTCGATCCCAGCTCGTATGAACTTCATCCGGAGAACGGCCTTAGCATCAGCAAGTGGAATGGCGATGCGAGGGACACGGAGCTGGTGGACTATGTGCCTTTCTTCGAGGGTGAGTGCTTTGCGAGACACGATGCTTAAGTCGCTCTGGGCTACGGTGACTGCCTTTGCGCCTGCTAGCTTTGAGATCGCATCGCTCACATGCATCATCACGGAATCTTGCCGCGGATGCAGCCATTGGCATCTTTGACGCGCAGGACGTGAGGCCGATCTTGAAAGCATACCAGGGTGAACATGTGCCTACGAAGTTTGCGGCTTGGGAAGAGGAATGGAGGAGGACGCAAGAGGCGGAGAGGACGAAGAAGCAAGGCAGCGGGCTGGGGCGCATCTTTGGGGGAGGCTTGGTGAGTGCTGCGCCGTCTTGGCGATCGAGTGATGTGCCTACGCATTGCCTTGCGCACCAGCGCAAGGGCATCTGTGGACATGTTGCATGCTCACCCGATTGACCTCGTACCGATCTCGATGGCGCTGCTCATACGAACAGAGGGAAGGGGGAGGCTCAACAGCTCCGAAGAATCTTTTGGATGCGGAGAGGGAGAGAATGCACCAGGCCTATGCTGCGGATCAAAAGTATTGGGCGGAAAATGGCGAGATGCTGAGGCAGCAGCAAAAGGAGGAGCAGGAAAAGGCTTTGAAGGAGATGAAGCTTAGTGCTTGGGCGTGAGTGTTGCTGCTCCTTCTCGTCCTTGGCGCCACGTGCCTTGGGCTTTCAGCGAGATAGCAAAGTCGCGAAATGGAAAAAAATTGAGAGCATCGCTGAAATATTTTCTTTTTGATCGCTTTGTGCGTCCTGATCGCCCTCCTTTGGGCAGAATGATCACGGGTCAAGGAATGAAGCCTCCAGGAGCGGAAGAGAAGGCGTCTGCTTGAAGTCCGGTGGGAGGATGAAGACGTCATCTTTGTAGGATGTCTCTGAGCTGCGCGAATCTCAGCGTCGTCCTTCGACTTGTACCTCCACCCCTCATACTCACCATTGCGATAGCAGGCGCATGCTTTCCGCCATTCTCTGCTGCTGCTAAAGGAAGAGTGTGCATAGCTTTCGAGAGGTATTCGGGGATCATAAAGTGACCTACCTGCTTGCTGCCGATCCTCGCAGCTCGACTGCTAGCCCCACTGCCCA